AGTTCGATTAAAATTGAAAAATTCAAAACTCAGGAACTGTAATGGAAATGAGGAGATGTTTATCCTTTTTTTTTTCAATCCATTTGTTTTGATTTAGTCTAACTGATTCATTGATAATCCAATTAATTCTAATTAAGTCCAATTGAATTGATTTAATTCAATTCAGTCCCAAATTAATTCCATTTTTATCCAATTATTTTCAATTGATTCAATTTAGTCTAATAGTTAAATCTATCTAATATTTCATTTTTATTTTCTTTTTCAATTAATATCTTCATCGACTTCTAACTTAACAATTTCTTTCAAAATCATTATTGAACTTTAGAGTTTTTTCACTTTTAGCCAAGTTAAATCAAATTAAACTTTTTTTTCAATTTCTTTTTCAATTTAAAACCCTCAATTTTTACCCAAAGATTTTCAAACTTCATTTATGGATGTAATGCTCAATTATTAGCCTAATTTCAACCCCAATCATTTTTTATTATTATTTTCATGATTTATTTTCTTAACACAAAGAAAATTGATGAAACATTAAAAACTAACTAAAATAACTAAAATAACATATTTTTGGAATTTTTTCTAATTTTTAAAATATATACAAAAATAAAAGTAAAAGATTGGGTTTAATAGCGCATGATCCACTCATCGGGTAATCATAGAAAATTGCAGCCAAATTAAACTTGGACAACCCTTCTCTCTCTCTCTCTCTCTCTCTCTCTCTCTCTCTTATCACCGATGAAAGGCATAAAACCCCCAACATCGACCGATCCTAAACTGACAGACCAACCTCTACCACCTAAAAAAAATAGAAAAAGAATGAGAGAGAGGGAGGGAGAGGGATGGTGGTGAAAGAGAAAAGGAGAGAGAACCAAAAGTTTCACACAAAGAATCTCTCATTCTAGACAATGGTGGATGAAATTGTTGTTATTAGAAGAAAGAAGAAGAAGAGGTGCATTCTGCATACTGGTCCACGTGTCTCTAGCCCTTGCTAACGTATACTTGTGCCACTTGTGATTGCCATGACGAGCATGTGTCAAACACGCGCCACCACTATCTCCTATTATTCTAGTAATCTTTAGTTGATTCCCACCATTTTGGAAGGTCCATTTGGAACCTAATGCATTGATTTTATGAATGATTTGTATTATGTCTTAGATGGTGTAGATTTATTTTTAGTTTTCAAGCGCAGTCCTGTGGGTCGATCTGAAATTGGCTAACTAGCGCTGAAATGCATCAAGTTTAAAATATTAAAAAAAATAGAAGCAAAACTTAGTAGTTGATTTGTTAGACTAGTTAAAATCCAGTAAAAAATTTAATTATAATTTATTAATTTTTATTTTTTATGAAAATAATATCATTATAATTTTAAAAAATTAACTTAAATAATCTGATAATTCGGTTAAAACCTGATGATACAGTTAAAACATAAAATTCAAGTCATAAATTGGATTGAATTTAAAAACTATAATTTTATTTATGTTAAATAATATGTGTTGCATTGATTTATTTATATTGAATGATTTGTGCTATGTTATCATCTTTGATGAGATGTTTTGATTTTTATTTGTGACAGTTTTGATTTTTATGGAAGGATATTTTTTGAGTGAGGGATCATTTATTCATTATTGGTTGTGTAAATTCCATGTGAGATATAACAATTTTTAGTCTAAAAACAATTTGTGCTTAGATATTAATTTTCAACTAGTTTTTAAAATAAAACAAATGATAAAAGAGTAGGTACAAAGCCAAACTTTTACCTTTTATATGGGTCCATATTTATTATGAAAAATTTTAAATCGAAGAATTTTTTTAAGAATTAATATAAAAAATCAATGAATTTTTACTGAAAATAGAAAATAAAAAATCAACAACATCTTTTATTTTTAGGGATTAATATTATTTTTATTGTAAAAAATAAAAAAAAATTAATAAAATATTTTATTTTTAGAAATTAATTTCAATTTTTTTTTTCCAAATCAAATACCTAAGAAATATTAACGTCAAAATTTTTGACATCCTATTAAAAATAAATATAATAAAATAAATCACAAAATAAACCTTAAAATAATTTAGCATGCTAGAATAAATTTATAGGAAAATACATAATAAATGTTATTTATCATTTGAAAGGATGCAATAAAGATAAGATCTATTTTTAAAGCATATTAATTCATTTAATAATTCTTGAAGACTAGTATTTAGTTTGAAATTTTTAATTTTATTTAATTACTAGGTGATGATTTTAATTTTATAGTCTCACGTGATAAAAGTCACTTTAACTTATTCTTATCCTTAATTATTAAAAAAAAAACAATTTTTGAATTATAATTCAAAATTAAAGTTGTCATTCAAAAGTCATGTCCAGCATAACATTAATAACTAAAGGATTTTGTTTTTCCTATGTAATCTATACAAACTTCGAACAATTTTACCATCGTCACTACGCGTATCAAAGCAAAAGGTATTCGCATCAAAAGAGTACGCACAATGAAACTAACGCAGGAGCTGCAAATGTCAAAACATATTTAATTGCTGGATTCACAGAATGATATGGAAGGCACGCAACTCGGTTATATATATATATATATATTCGTGAGAGGTAGGGCACACAAACGAGAAGCGCATAAGGAGAAGTGATGGATTGGTTTGGAAGAAAAGATTGGTGATCATCTAACTGTGAGAAACAAAAAATTAACAACATGACGAGATTTTCATATTTTCCTCGCATTCCAGAAAGAAAGAAAAAAAACCCTGAAAACATGCTTAATGAAACATATATAAGAAAATTTCTAAAAGAAATCATCAAACAAAGCAATTAATTAAGAAAAACCTCTCATTTGTCCTTTCCATGCTACCTTTTTCAAGATTTGAATATGAGGCTTCGAGGATAGAAGGTGAACAGCATATCTCGTGATCATGTGATCAACGACCCCTCCTTGTCGAAATCAATAGATGACTTACGAGAAGGCGGGAGGGAGTACCTGGATGAGAAGCTCCTCTCCATAAGATCATCATCCTCGGGACGTCGTCTTGAACCCTGGTCGAAGTTAAGGGCATAACTCGAAGGATCATACTGAAATCTCCCGTATGGAGTGCCACCGCCTGGCTTCTTATTAAACCTCCGCAGAAATGTTTTCCATTTGGGGCCTGCAAGTAGTTCTGACCAATCCCGGATTCTCATCCATCCCCGAAACCACCATGATTCTGGGCTCGTTGTGCACTCGACAGGCTTGATTCTTTGCCAAAATCCTGGTCCAGCAGTACCACTGGATGACGGTACTGGATCTGTGGTTAAACATGGTATCCAACAGCACCTTCTATTGGCAAAAGCGAGATCATGGATATCATCATTATTATCATAAGAAGGGGAAATATCTGGGGTCTGAGAGGACATTTGATCAGGGCTACCAAATGGGTTTGCAGAGAGAATTGGAAATTAAGCCTCTTCTGATCTGCAAACCCTGGCCCTTATTTAATAATCTAATCTAATCTAAGAGAGGAATTGCTGTTTGTTTCTCTTTTTTGGGATGTTTTCTTGCATCTGAGGGTTGTAACAGCAGAAAGTGCAGAGTTTAATTTGATGGGGAGAAAAATTATATAAGAGGGTCTTGATGCATCTATGAGATGTTATCCTTTTGTAACATGCATTGATGATGCTTCGGTTTAAAACAAGAAAAACACAAGCCAAAAAAAAATAAAATAGATGCCAATATACCTGTTCAAGGAGCATTGTGACCTGTTCCCCTAACCAGACAAAAAACAGATTCCATTGCTGTACGTGCTCCTAAATAGTACTTACCAGCCTCATATTCCGTTACGCTGCAGCATGATTTCAGGTTAATTTTCAAGCAAAAGATGAGTATGTTTTCGACTATAAGGCCAGTGCTTGGGTGTATATATACATAAAAAAAATGGGTGTCATAATTTCTCTAACTGGGAAACAAAAAGATGCATGCTTAACAAAATAAATTAAATAGAAAAGAATTTATTAACACTAATTAAATAATAAAATGGGAAGCTAATCTCCCTAGTAAAAAAAGATAACTCAAAAATATAAATGTTTGACACATATTATCCATTTTATTCAACATGTTTTTATGTATTTTATGTTAGAACTTAATTTTTGTTGTTAATAACAAAAAAAAATATTATTTTGATAAGTGCATCATATAAATACAACTAATTTATAAAAAAAAATATTAGAAGATAAAATTAGAGAGAGAAAATGTAAACAGTTAATCACTGTTTAAAAACAAAGCTAAACCCAAAAGTTTAAAGAATAAGGAGAGGGTATTACGAAGCTCCTGGCCTCCAATCAAATAGCCCATGAGCAAATGGAATTTATTTTTATTTTTTCTCTAGTGCGGACATCATCTGCTCTCGTTTTTTTCAACATGCAACAGGTCACCTGTCGCACGATGGAACTTCTTTTGGTCACCGCCAATTGTGCTCCGGTTCTTGGACCATAAAAACCCTCTCTTTTTTTATACTTATTTTAACATGAGAATCCTTATAAAAATTTTAATAAACTCTTTCATTATTTCATTATCCCAGAAATTCTCTCTGCAAAACCAATGAACACTGAGAGTCTTGCTAGAACTTGTAAAGGGTCCTTAGTTCGATACATAAGTTTGCAAGTCACGTGATCCATTAATTTTAAAAAATATCAAAAATATTTTTTAACTGCAAGAATGAACACGCTTTAAATACCAAAAATTTAAGTAACAAGAATCATCGTTCTCTTGATAGATGGATATATGACTGGAGCCAAGTCTAAACACTCGGACTTGGACGTCATCTTTCCGGCTTCACTTATCTATCTCAGAATCGGAGAGTCATTGTTCTGCTTGGTTTAAAGTAAATAGTTTATTTGACTATTATCTCTCCTAGAGTTGAAAATGTAATCTCACTCCCTCACCAAATAATACCACAGCAACGCCAAGAGGGAACACATATAGCTACGAAAAGAGAGAGAAGGGAAACAAGGAAAGACACGTCACTTTGACAAACTGATTGGAGGCCTAGATCACTTTGACAGTCTGCACTAGCAGATTCATCTTAAATGGGTAAACCATTAAAGCAAAGATAATCCTTTCTTCCGGTATATTATAGACTATAAGCCATTATCAGCTAGATTTGTCTTTCTAAATGTATCATTCATTAGTTATCAGGCGAGGATAAGAAATGGCTGAAAGTTGCAGATCATTGTCCTTCTAAATTTCATCCCTGAACGCCAACGGTACGGTGCTTAATCTGTACATCTTTACTTGTTTGATGACGGCATCCAATTGAGTTACAAACGATCTGAAATGAAAATCATCAGATTTATTTATTGCAGAAAAAATTAAAACGGAATACAAGATCAACCGCAAAACTAATAAGATAATGTTAATTGAACAAAAATATCCGCATAAGTTAAACAAAGCAGTAAAACTGCTTTAATAATAACTATAGCAACCAGCCAAGCAAAGTGATGTCCGATAACCAACACACCGATCTGTTACGTGTTCGTAGATTTATTGTCTGTCCAGGGTTCGTACTTAAAATTACATGACAAAATATTTCTTTGCATGCCAGTGCAGCGTAACTCCCCCCAAAAAATGCATCATCCACTTCTCTTCGAATTGGAAATGGCTGAAAAAATCGTTTTCTTTTTACAAATAAAGGACAAGTGGTATTTCACGAGTAGAACAAATGCTCATCATCTACCCGTAGCAAAAGTGGCATCAAGAAAGAAAGAAAATCGAAGGATAATTACCGAGAAAACCACAGCAAATGATCAATTTGATGGAATACCGAAGCGGCTTTGGAGAGCACCAATGGATTTCTCCAAGGACTTTGCAAGCTCAGGGATTGTGGTTTTGCACACTGAGAAAAAAATCAATAGATTGTAAAAAGGAATAAGATGGTATGTGATGCATTGGTGAAACCTACTCCGACCTTTCCAAGTAACCTGGAAAACTTCCACTAATATTTACAAATGGTAGGAACTTCTCACTTGATGCTAGATCTACAAAAATAGCAGTGCTAGATAGCAAGTCTAAACACACGGAAAAATAAACAAATAAAACTCACTCCTAATGTCATGCTTGTCAGTGGACTCGGGGTGCATACTCAAGTAATCAGATTCAATGTCCAACTAGAAACCAAATATTGTCTATAGTAATCTCTCATTAAGAAATTTTGGATAGCCGTGTTTGTAAGTACGTAATATTTTTAGTGCAATTAAAACCGTTTCATAGAAAGTGAGTTTTTGCTTTGGGAAATTACCTGCAAATTTGGTAGCAAAACTAACCCAGCCACTTTGTGAAGAAATTCGATACATCATGCATACAGTTTATATAGTCTTCTTCAACTTCAGAACTACAGTTAGTCTATCACACAGGCAATAAACAAAAGAAGATTAGATACTTAAACATACCACGAGATGCGGTTGCTTGTGCTTCTGCCATGAACTCTGTGTATGTCTCCTGCGGACAGTAAGAGAGACCAAGAGAATCGCTACATTACACACATAAAACTGGTGAAATCACCATGAGCAGAAGTATAGAACTGGTTACTTTGTGATTCAAAAAACACAGGAGTAAAGGTTTCTTTACCTTCATTGCTTCGGTGGTTTCGGTAACCCGTTCAGTCATCTTCTTAAAATCCTTCTCCGATTCATCCATCATCTGCTGGCATGTTTGGCTCTGAATCTGGTGCATTACAATATGCATGCGTATAGAAGCAGCCGGTTAGTTTACCAAGGGGGAAAAAAAGGATTTGATAGCGTCAAAACGCAAACGCGTTTAAATCAAACACAAGGTGAAATACTATCTAATTCTAGAGATAGCTGTGTTTATAGCAAATCAAATCTGAACATGATACATACGATCTCGGATTCTAATTTCATTTTCTTTTGATTTATCAGCAACCAAAGAAATAGATCCTCAAAAAACATGCAAAAGAAAAAAACGGCCCATTAATCGGAAAAAATTAAACTCAAAAACAAGGAGATTAATTCCTTTAACTGAAGCTAAATTGTAAACTATGACAATAAAAGATGTCACAATTAAACCAAACGGAGATATAATTCTTTAAAAGAAACCTAAATTTGTGAGCGGTTGAATAAAAAGAGTCTAATGAAGAGGACCTTGAAGCGTTTGTGGAGACGAGAGTGAGAGGCTTCGAGATCTTTGATGATCTCAGAGTGAGAGCGATCGATGAGACGGCTCTTGATATCGTCGAAGCGAGAAGAGGCTAACTCCTTGAGATCGGAGATTGAAGCTAGGGTTTTATCAAGAGACGGCGGTGGTGGTGATCTCAAAACACCAGCGGTTGCAGCAAAAGATGCGATCGGCTTCTTTTTCTTTTTGCCGTTGAGAATGCTAGATTTTGGCGGCGATGGAGATGGTGGCGATGCCATAGGTAATGGCGATTTTCGACTTTTCATTTTTTTCTTCATTTCGGTTGGGAGAGACAGGAAGGATGAGTGTTTTCTTCTTCTTTTTCTTGAAAAAAAAAAATCAAAATTTATGAGAGTGTAAGGGAATGAGAAAGTTGTTTGTTTGGATTTTGAAAATTATAGTGGCGGGGTTTTTGAATTTTGGAATTCTGTGCGTTATAGGGAAATACTCGAGTCTTGGCTTAGGGGAATTACGTGCTTCTTGTTTGTTTCGTGCCACATTTATCTATTAGCGTTTTAAAACCCTAAAGTTACGACAATGAACCATACAAAAATAGATAAAGAAAATTATAATATTGTCTAGAATCAATAATCTAAAAAAAAACATCATATCAATTATTTATATAGAAATTAAAGTCATACTAATAAATAAAAATTCAAATTTAAGCAAAACAATAATTAAAAAAAGTTATCAAAAAAATAATTAAATAACAAAAACAATATTTTTTAAGCTAATTTCAGAGGTTTTCATACCTTGATTAGTTATAACCAGACATAATTTGAGGGTTTTCCACACCTTAATTAACTATAACCAAACGACTTATCTATATAATTGAACCTATATATTCATTTGATAAATTAAATTTGAGCCTAATCCAACTATCAAATCTAAATTTATAATTATTTTTGTTAGATTGCACATCTGACGAGTATAAGATTCTTCGTTAGCTTTGCCTTATCTAGTCCATAAATATATTTACACATCAATTACATTTAATTGAGAATGATTTAAATCCTTAAGTCAACACCAAATTCTATATATAAAGACTCAATATCATAATAAAGCTCAAATATTAAAAATATTAAAGGCTATGAAAATACTTATATTATTTAGGATATTGATAATATAAGCATTATCATTAATCTTTTTTTATTATGGTGTAAGGATTATATATCTTTTACTATAACTTACAGTACGACATTGTTCAAAATTTCTCTTTATGCAGGAACATCATTACTCTATCTTTTTTCTTAAATACTTCAACATAATAGTATCTATTGATAACAACCTTGTACTTAATATTAGTTTTCAACAACTTTTGTTATGGGTCTTCTAACATGCTCGTCCATTATCATCTTTCAAGTAGCAATGTTATATCCAACACCTTTTTAAATTGGTATAAAATCTAGCACATGCTTAGGACATTGCAAATATAAAATCTTGAATGGTGATTTTTTAATAGCATTGCGCTTAGTACTATTATATGTGAATTCTACTTACACAAGTGCACAATCTCATTGCTTTGGCTTGTCATTGTAGATGCTCCAAATTAAGTTACCAAATATCAAATTGAGTGGCCTTAATTTTCCATCTATCTATAGATATGCTGCACCACTAAATTATAATAATGAGTTATGCATCCTTTATAACATGCATTAAAAATAACTAAGAAACCTGTTACCTTAATCAAAAGTTATGATTTTTGAAATCTTATACAAACGAATCAAATATTCAAAAGAAGAGCTGAGCAATTATAGAAGCATCATTCACCATTATGCAAGGGATAAAATATATCATCTTTAGAAACTCATCAATGACTATAAAAAATATATAATCCACTCTCATTCAAGTGTGGGGATAAACCAAGTATAAAATGCATAAACAAGTCCTCTCATATATTTTCAGTAATATGTAAAAGTATATATAAACAGTGGTAGAGGCAGGGGGGCTGGCAGGGGCCCCGGCCCCAGCAAGGAAAATTTTCCTAGCCCCTCCCTTAGCCCTCATTTAATACATATTTCAATAAAACAAACCTTTTTAAAATGATTCTTTTGATTTGATCCTCCTTAATTTTTTTTTCTTGCTCAGCCCCTGTATATAAACAGGTATTTTATATTTTCTCTTCGATAGTATGACAAATAAAGCATTTTTACACAACCTTACCAATGTTATGTTTCAAGTGAGGCTAATAATATTTCTCAATAATAGTATCAATATTTTTTTCTCACCCTAAATGACCAACCAAGCCTTTTCAATGCAAATCTGAAATCATATTTTCTTATAATGAAGAACGAGTAATACAAAACTAATTATCTCTCACCAAAAACCCATTATGAACATGAAAATCATCAATATGATAGATTCTAACTCCAACACTTTTTCTATAACTCATCAAAATCATCATCATACTCATACAAATCTTTCAAACAATCCAACCTAGTGACATCTCCTTTTAAAATAACTAACAAGACTTCTCTTCTACTTAAAGTATCAATAATTGTATTATGAACTCCAACTATATATAAAATTTAATAATAGGTAAAGAAAACTCTATTATTTTCTGAAAAATTATGAAATCTAATAATATAATGAGAAAAAAAAGTAGCATGCTAACTATTTATATAGAGGTTAAAACTTAACTAACCAATAAAAATCCAAATATAAGTTTAAAAAATAATTAAAATCTAAAATTAACTAAGAAAACAATTAAATTATAAAAAAATAAGATCTTCTAGGCCTAAAAGATCCTTATGGTCAGTGAGCTCTTTTATAAAATCAGACTTGTACAAATATCAAGTAAAATTTAAGTTTAATTCAATAATTAAATTTTAAATTTTGTTTGTTTTTATGAGATTGTGTGTTTGACACCTCTAAGCTGCTTTGTGGTCTTTGTCTTATGGATCTAGTCCATAGCATTTCTGTAACACATTTATTGTAGAATTGGCTCGCCTCTTATGTGAATTTTTTTTATATAACATTTGATGGATAATGTACATTTTACTTAGAAAAACACATCAAAGTACCAACATCTTGTTAAATTGTATACAAAGTGAAATTAAAAAGAAAAAAACTTGATGTAAAAGAATTCTTTGTGTCCATCACTTTATTAGTATTGCATGTCTCTTGTAAAAATTAGATTAGACCTACCTTTGAGTCTTACCTTTGATTTTAAATATTATCATGATAATTCTACAACAGCCATTAGATCCATAAGTCTGCATAACCACTCTTAATTTTCAATTATTTAATACACATGCGTTCTATATATTTCACCAAATGTTTGCGATCAAAGTGAAGTTCTTTTGTAAAGACTTATTGATGGAAGAATCCTCCATTTGGAAAACGTATTCTAGCAAATTATTTTATGTCCCTAGAGGCCTACACCTTTATACATGTCAAGTATCTTTGTCGAGGTTATAAGTTATATATAAAAAAAAATTAGAGATTAATCCCTAGAGGTCAAAGGCTTGTTCGAGTTCTTCCCATATACCTGGCTAAATGAAGAACCCCTTGTGTTTTCCACTTCACAACTCCCTATTAAGGATATAGGTTTCTGGGAGCATGTACGAATTCAGATATATCAAATATGATGAGAAATTAACTCTACTACAATGCTAAAATAATGAGTTAACTTGACTATCGACGTGTTCTTCCTTGCAGTACTCAATGACCTTGGAAATGATCATGCCAATAATGTTTGGTAATGGGATTACATTGCCCAGTCTTCAAACTCTGATTAGGTGCTTAATTGTTTCAGATTCTTAGGCTACTACCTCCTTTACCTTGAACGTTTCCTGATTTGAAGTCTCGAGGGTGATTTTCTTCAATGAAGAATTGGTGTGCATCTCTATTCTTGTTTAGTGAGAGTTTTGATTAAAATAGTATTGGTAGAGATTGTAAAAACCCTAACCGAAAATATACAGAATCGAGATTTACATATATAACTTTTAAACACGTACAGACTTCGACCAACTTAATTTCTGTTTGGGAATTGGATTTGGATTTGAATTTCACATAAGATTCTCATGCGTGAATGTCCATCTTGGTTTTGTGTTGGGTTATGTCGTTTTGAGCATTCCAAATTAGTGGGCACTAGATTAATCATTAATTATACGGATGATAATCTAAAAAACTCAATATAATTTTTTTTATAGAAAAATTGATATACCTTTTTTTTCATGCATATACCTTTAACAAAAAAATGTGAATTTGATCGCCTAACAAAAATGGTGGATTTTATCACTTAACCAACTTTATATTTGGTGGCTTGCATATAGATTTTCTATTTGGACATGTTCATCATGCATGATTTATTCTTAAGGAATTGTATGTTGATATGTCTAGTTGGATTGTATTTTTAAAATTATTTTTAGTTTTAAATTAATTATTTTGATGTGTTAATATCAAAAATAAAAAATATTATTTTAATATATTTTCAAATAAAAATACTTTGAAAAACAACCTTAACTATAATCTACTCTAAATCCAACCTCAACTTTTTGTTTAGCTGTGTATTATAGATAAGGCTTGATTTTTCAGAGATGGTAATTTTGAGTTTAACTTTTCATTAATGTATTATTCTAAACTTCTTAATGTATTATTCTAAATTAAGAAGTTCTTATTATTAGGACACTTGGGGGGGGGTAATTGTAAATGTAATTTGTGACCTATTATGATGGTCATAATTCGGTTGAAAAATCCATTTAAAATCAAAGAAATTAACCCAACTAAATTATTCAATCCCCAATTTATAAATGTACGAAAAAGCTCTTTTACATTGTCTCTTCTTATATTCTAATCTTGTACGATGACAACAAAAAACTCACGTACTATCCATTTCCAACCCAAATAGAGCTTTCAAGCAAGAATTTCATCTTCAACAACATATATCGAATTAAATAACAAGTGATGATAAATTTCCGGGTAATTCACAGAAACAGTAGCAATAATACTAAAAAAAAAAAACCCAAGCTCTCTTTAAAAAAATAATAAAAGCAATGCTTGAAAAGGAAAGAAAACTAATCATTGTTGTGTAGTCATGTAAAACAAAATCAGAGCAAGCCACTAATCTCATAGGAACCTGACAGAGCATGATGAGGGCATTTTACCCTGTATGACTACCCGAAACCCATAGGTACCCCATCTCAATCTCTTGATCTTCATAAGAACTACAGTTGTTTCCATACATCTTGCGAAAATCCAAACCTCCGATCTCTGGCCTCACCTTGCTCCATGCACCATCACTCGCCAAATCGACCAATCTCTCGATACCAAGATAGTTAGCAGCAAGGACGAGTTGAAAGAGCGTGTCTTTATCGAGCTTGACAAAATCGGCATCCCATGTCCTGAGTTCCTTGGCGGTGCTTCTGTCATCT